TTTTGAAAGGTTTACAGTAGTTTTATCATATTTTTGTGTATTCAAAATTTTGTATAGTACTTTTGGTTTGAGTTCTGTGATTGGAATTGGACGGTTGTTTTTAGAGTATAGATATGGTATGACTTTGTTATGATCATATTTTTGAGTTTCAGTATTTATTCTTAGTTTCCATTGTGGTGGTAGCGAGTTTATAATTATGGAAATTTGTCAAGGTTTCATATCAACCAGTTGGTAGTCAAGAAATCCTGGTACAAATACTTTAGAAATGTCTGCTATTTTAGTTATATTGTTTTTTTCTGTATTTGGTGTTGGTTTTAGAGATGTGTTAAGGTGTTTTATGTATGGGTTGTAAAACAAAGGTTGGTTTAACAGTTCTTCATATGATAGTTTATCAACGTTGTCACATTGGCTATATATGCTGTTCCAGTTTTTAAGCATTTGACTATAAAACAAAGGCAAAGTTTTTAAAGAGTCATTCGAATGGCTTGTGAAAAAGACTGGATTTCCTTGGTTTGCTTCTCTATAATTGTTTAAGATGTATGATGCTGCATCTTTCCAGGCTCCATTGTATTGTTGATCAAAAAGTTTGGAGATCCAGCTTAGTTGTATTGATTTTAATTTTGTTTGAATGTCAATGATATTGAGGCCGCCTTTTTTGATAGAAAGTTTAGAAATTTCTTTTTTTGTTTTAATGGTGCTATTATCCCATAAGTATTTTTCTGTTAATCTTTCTATGGATTTGATTTTTTTGTCGTTCGGCAACGGCATTGTAAAGGCAAGGTGATATATACTACTAAGGAGACTTTGGTTAATTACAATTCTTTTCCCTTTAAAGGACAGCTTAAAACGTTTCCAACTTTTTTTTTTTTTTATGATTTTGTTAGTGCATTCATCCCATTGTTTACTGTGACTGAAGTTTGTGTTGGAAAAGACGACACCTAAACATTTGAATGAATTGTCTTTCCAAGAAAAATTCAGATAGTTTTCTTTATTTCCATTTCTGTTTTTACCTAGCCAGATACCCTGGCATTTGTTTGCATTTATCTTTGTTCCTGTTGCTAGTTTGTTAAGCGCAAGGGCTTCTCCAAGAGCTTTGATGGAATCGTCAGTTGTAAGAAAGAAATTGGTATCATCGGCATATTGTTGGAGTTTTGTTTCTTTGTTGTTTATAGTAATGCCTTTAATTTGGCTGTTGTTTCTGATATAGCCTGCAAAAATCTCTGCTTGTATTATGTATAGAGACATGGATAGAGGGCAGCCTTGTCTTACTCCTCTGTGTATTTTGATTTCTTCGAATAAAAAACCATTTATTTTTAAACGTGAATTGATGTCATAGTATAGTGTTTTTTTATGATGTTTATAAAAGAATTACTAAAACTGAAAGCTGACAGACAATCAAATAAAAAAGTTCTGTCAACTCTGTCAAATGCTTTTATTTAATCTATGGATATTATGGATATGTCTAGTTTCATTTCATTAGCTATATGAATAATGTCTCTGGTATAGGATAAGCTTTCGAATATTGTTCTATGATGAATACAAGCAGTTTGTGTTTCTTTAATGATATATGGAAATATATGTTTAAGTCTGTTTGAAATAATTTTTGTTAGAATTTTATAATCTGTATTAAGTAGAGAAATGGGTCGCCAGTTTGCTATATCTGATTTGTTTCCTTTTTTATATATACACGTTATGATGGCTTGTTTTAGTGAATTTGACAACTCATTTTCTTTTATTATATTATTAAATACAATAAGTAATGTTTCGCCAAGGGTATCAAAATTTTCTTTATAAAACTCCGCAGTTAAGCCGTCGCTTCCGAGTGATTTATCTGATTTCATAGATTGAAGAGTAGCTTTTACTTCTGTTAAAGTTATGGTTTGATCTAGTGTTTGTCGTTGTTGTTCGGTGATTTTGATAATATCTGTGTTTTCTAGTAGTATAGTTTGATGAATTACACTGTTTTTACTTTCCTTATATAGTTTCGAATAGAAATCGTGGAAACTTTTTATTATCTCCGGAGTATTGTTGTGCTCGTTACCATTTGAATCATTTATGTTAGTGATTAGTTGTTTACGTGTTTTTTCTTTTTCAAGGTGAAAAAAAAATTTACTACATTTTTCTCCTTGAAATCGCCAATCAATTTTAGCTCGAATAGCAGCACCTTTTGCTTTTTTTTTTTTTTGTAATTCTCTAAATTAGTTTTTAGGTTTTGACTTAAATTTTTCATATGTGGGTTAAGGTGTGCTTTTTTCAGGGCATTTTTTTAATTGTTTTTTCATAGTAAATTCTTTGCGGCGGCGGTTTTTTGCTTCATCTTTGCTAAATTTTTCTTGAAAAGATTTTTATGTTAGTTTTAAAGTTGTCCCACTCGTCATTTTTATACGTTGAGGTGTTTATAATCGTAGTGTGAGAATTTATGATGTTTGTTATACTTTTTTTAAAGCTTTTATTTTAAGGTGGTTGTTGTTAAGGATCCAAATGTCTTTTCCTACTTTGAAGTTATTTATTTTAATATGAGCATGAACTGCGTTGTGGTGGTCTGAGTGCGTCATCGGCTCATGATATATATCAATATATTGACGCATGTGATTGCTTAAATAAATTCTATCAAGACGAGAGTATGTTATATTGTTAGTAGATTTATAAGTATATTCTAAGGATTGGGGGTTAAAAATACGCCACGTGTCTTCAACATTCAAGGTATTTAATAAAGCTTTTAGATATTCGCTAGACGGACATTGTTTCCTAAAAATTGAGGGATATTTGTCAATGTCACTTAGTACCATATTAAAATCGCCCCAAAGTATTGTCACATAATTTTGATAGTTAAGTTTTTTGATTTTTTCTGTAATTTCTTTAAACAAAAATTTTCTTTCTCTTTTATGTTTAAAACTTGTCCCTGAACTTGCGTGTAGATTTATTATTAGGTACTTATGATATTGGTTTTCGATAATCACATAGTTGAAATTACCTGAGTCATCCGCAAAATGCTCAATTAGCTTTAAATTGTTTTTTGCATGGTTTATTAGAGTTAGAGTTCCTTTGGAATGCCTTTTCGCCTATAGAAAAGAAACCGAGTTGGTTCCATTTTAAAAGGAAATCGTCAGCGTTATTTTTGCTTAGATGCGTTTTTTGTAGCATAATTATATCGTAGTTCATTTCTTGAAATTTTGTTATAACGACGTTTTGTTTATTTTTGTCGTTCAAACCGCAAATATTTACTGAGATTTTAATTGACTCCATTTCATTTCAAAGTTCAGTTATTTGTCGTTTTTTCGGTTTATAATGAGTGTGTGGTATGATAATAATTGATATGACGAAATGAATAGATGTTTATACTGACAGATAGTTTGTAATATCAAGATACGTTTTTGTTAAAATAAAATAGATAGATCCGTCAAAATAGTAAAAGATATGTAAAAGAATATAAAGAAAAACTATATCATACCGCTCTCTGCCTTGGGATTCTTTTTTGATCTTCTTTATTAGTCGGGGGATTTTTTTTATGATAGTTTTTGTCATTTTTTAATTCTATAATTTCGCCTTCTTCTGTATCGCTATCGTTATCTTTTAATTCATTCTTTCTTTTTTTTTCTTGTTTTTGTTTTTTGCTTTTTACCTTTTCGAAATTTGTTTCGGTATTTGTGATTATTGGTATTTTGCTATCGACCTGTTTCGTGGTGTTATTTGCATTTGACATTAAAATTCGAGGTTCGTTATTTGTTGTTGTTACTTTTTTTGTTTCGGAAACATTTATATTAACATTTTCTGCTTTTTGTTGCGAAATACATCTTTTTTGAAGAGGGTGAGAGTTTCCACAAACTTTACAGAGGAAAGATTTTCCAGCAAAGTGTAGCGCGATCGTGATACCGTCTATTTCGATTGAGTGGGGAATATCTTCTAATTTTACCGATGGTTTAATTCGAAATAGCCGTCTACCATCTCTTAAATTTCGGTCAAATTTGTAAGTCGTGTGTTTAATCGAGTAAATCTCTTCAATAAATGGTTGCATTCGCTTAACAATGTCTTCATCGTCGACTAAAGGATCACACTTTATGGTGATTAAAAAACCAATCTCGCTTCGTATGTTGCAATTAATACTTTGGTTACTACCAGACAAAATAAAAGTAGAGTCGCTAAGGATATTTGCATCTTCTTTATGTTTCATTTCAATAACCCAATTTTCTCTGGTGTTGTTAATAATACTATTTACTTTGTTGTTACAAACGATATTTGTAATTTTTTCATAGATTTCTTGAGCTCTACTTTCCTGATATTTTCTGTTAAATATTTGAGAAAGATCCATATATACATTAAAGTCTACGATACGTTCCATTCTATCTGCCTTACTAGATACGGCACGAGCATAACTAGCCATCGCGTTTACCTTATTGACACAAATACTTAAAAAAAGTTTAGATGTGTTTTTTTCCGTATTTACAATACGTAACGTAACCTAAAAATGTTATAGGGGCATATTGTTAGAATAATAAAAATTTATATCTGACAAACTTCACATTATATACACATTTTTGCTTGTGGGGTAATAAAAACACAAGTAGTGTTAAGCTGATTAAATAAAAAAATTTGTAAAAAAAATTGAAGTTAACGTTTACTATTTTCAAATACTATTTCACCGTAACGTGAAAATTTTTAAAAAAAAAAAGATTAGAATAGCAAATATAATTGTTTTTAGATTTTACATATAAAACTTGTGTGAAATAGAGTTTCCAAACAAAGGGGGTTGTTCGCACCTAACAACCCTCCCCCCCCCCCCTCCTCATATACATTTTTTATTTCATATAAAGCTTATTGATGACGTTCAGAAAAATGCCTTTAATTCAGAAGTTTCTTATAAAGAAAAAAATTAATAACATAGTAATATAATCTGTGTACATTTTTCATCTAATCACTGTCTTTGGTAAACGAAATATCATCGTTGCAAATATCATCAAAGGCGTTATTGTTAGAATTATCATTCCCAATAAATTCAGGTGCAATATTAGCCTTCTTTGGTGCCCGACTAGGTGTGCCTATTAGTCTGGCTTCTGCCTTGACTGCTGCGCGTTTTGCATGCATTGGCATTCGTTTTAATTGATCCCCGAGCGCCTCTGCCACCTTATGGGCGTTAATGCGTTTTTGCGATCTTAGCTGCAGAGAATCTATAAAATATAAAAATAATATCTACATCTTTAAAAAATTGGAATTGGTAAAAAAAAAATTATGTATCCAATTATACAATTATTGAAATTAGATTACTACAACAGTATAACTTTTTTTGACAAAATAAATAAAAAATACAGCATGGCTAGGTTATAGATATAGAAGTCAATCACTTTTACCTATTATGATAGGAAGAATACTTGGGCTAATACTCCTTTTCCCTTATTTCCCATCCCGGCTATATAAAGACCAAACTGAGCTGGGTGCCAGGGCCAACAACATATTAGAAAGCTTGCCAGAGAGATTTTGTGATGCAAGTGTGACATTGGACAAAGATGCAATCTTTAATTTAAATACATAGGCACAATAACAGTTTAAATTGGAAATAGAAAAAACTAACTGCATACATTTAGCTAAAACTATAGCTTTAAGTAAAGATTATTTTAAATTAAAGTTACCAAGGACTGACGTTCACAATCATTTAGGTTGAGCCAATAAGTCAGGTGACTATCCAGCTCGTCTGCTGTTGTGCTGAATTTTAAAGCTTCCACCGGCGCATTAACAGCAGATTTGGTGTTGCTTAGACCAACCACCATGCCCATTAGAGTTTTTTGGGTGTCCTCAATCCGAATGAGACTGGTGAATATTTCTTGAAACCACGCTACAATAAACAAATGAAATCATATTAAATTTAGGGACTACTTCAGTATAAAAATAACAGATTAGGTAAAAAACATTGTGGTTAATGCTAACTAACAAATTATCATAAAAACTTACAACGCATAGCTGTATTTGAAATTGGGAAATCGGATTTCTCAATTTCATTATCCTTCGAACTTGGAGTCTTTTGTCGAGCTTTAAAGCAAGTATGAACTGATGCAGATAATCCAAAATATTCGGATGAAGTTTTAATTAGTGGCAGTGTTGGACGAGGTGAACTTTGAGATAAAAACAAAAAAGAAGGTTGTGAAAATGCTGAATATAATGGTGATGGTGCAGTTGGAAATAAATGAAGAAGTTGCGTATTCAGTGTTGTTGGTGGAGTTGGTGGTGATGCTAAGTCAACTTCGTTTTCTTTGTGAGTCAGTTTGGACTTTTTTTTGTCATTCGTTTCGTATTCCTTGTCCGATAGGTACAGAGGTCGTTTGTGAGTTTGTCAATTTTCATAATCCGTCGAAAGTAATTTTCCAGTCTCTGAGTATTTTTTGCAGTGTTTATAAATATTTTTGAGAGATTCTAGAAAAAAACGTTAATCAGAATTAAAAACAAAACTATTTGGTATTAAAAAAGTTCATCTAATCTTAATTCATCTAGCAAATCATCCTACCAATCTATCAGTCAAGCATTATTGTCTGCTAGATTTTAAGTTTTTTTTAAGTTTCCTAATTACTATGCACACTTACCATGTTTGTATAAAACTTTGCATGGAACAGTTTCCCATGTAGTTAGTGCTGGCAATTTATTACTCAGCATATATCGTGTTTTTGTATACTTAAAATCGGGAAATGCAACCATGTGGAAGCCGTTTTGGTCAGCTTCATCCGACTCTAGCCACGAATGTAAAGCTACGGCTATAGAACTGTCAGCAAACTCAATTAAAATATACATCTATAATAAATTTACCATTGTTAAATAAGTAATATTTTGTATGATATATAAAAAATTACCATTTTTAAATTTTCATATTTAATAGTTAAATGTAAAAATAGTAATTGGAATTACAGCACCTAAATAAAGCATAAATAAATAAATAAAAAACAAATTGTTAGCAAAACTAATATTATTAAGATAATATAATATTATTAAAATAATATAATTTAACTATTACAAGTATGCAAAATTGGAGCAAAATTATTTTTGTAGGAAAATAGTTTACAATAAACTAAATTAATAGGAACTTTAGTTAAAGATTTGGAAAAATGCGTTCCTTTATAAGTATCCAACGCAGAGGATTTTAGGGGATAATCATACGCATCAGTTTGTTCTAATACGTAACATGCCTTCAACCATATATCATCATTTTGATTGGTATTATAAATACTACGTATCTTGACAATCTTTTTGTCTAAAAGCATAACATAACAATTTGGTTTTTTATTTGACAACAAAAATGTTTTAAAATAACATTTAGCGTAATATGAAATCTTTGTAGTTTCGTTAAAAAAAATACACGATGATAATTTACAAAAATTTACTGGTTTCAAAGCAATTGGTTTTAGCTGCCTTAAATTTTGACCCCTGCTAAGCACTTTATTTACAGATTGTTGCAATGGAAGATTCGGCGATGTAACCAATTGTCTTATAAATCGCATAAAATTTTCCGATTGAAAACAACTAAAATTATCAATACACCCAAATGTTTTACAATCATCAACAATATGAAGCGAACAATGAACATTCATAGTGATGAATTCACGACCAAAAAGAAGTGCTGAGTTTGTAATAAATGTTTTGACTAGGTCTTTACAATAACTGTTTAAATAAATGTTCCAAATTGGATGACAAATGATTCTAAATATTGTTGATAACAACAAAAAATTATGGAAATATTCTTTATGCACATGAAGTTGCAATAAAAACGGTCCAAGATACAAACAAAAATATCGTGTTTCAGTTGCTTTTCACTTATTAAGTTGATTCATACTACGTGGTTTTCTGGGAAATTCAAAAGGGGTACAGTCATGACTCATTGATATATCGGTGTTTAAATTTTGCATGCCATTTACACTTAGACGATAGGGTAATTGACCGCTTCGTAAAATTTCTAAATAACGCACAAATACTCCTTTACAAAAAAGGTGCATGTAGTCAAAAGGAAAGAACTTAATCATATCAAGATAGGTAATGGATTCAAAAGGTGACATTTCGTAATGATGTTCTTTTTGACGTCTATTTCTAAAGGAATCATTAGTTCTTAAGGTTGATTCTCCTTCATATATTCTGCGATGTTTGATATTTGTTCCTTTTATTTCACATCTATCGCAACGAAAATAAGCAGTATGATCTTTTACGCATTTCAAGAATGATTTTGCAAGCATGTCGCAATTGCAAAATAAAAATTCGACGTTATAACCCAGTAAGCACAGGACGTTTTAAAAACGTTTTAATTCCGTTCAATTTACGGTCGGACGTTAAAAGAACCAATACAATCGTTTTTAAAACGTTTTTTTGCAAACGTTTTTTTTTAATGTTATTTTAAACGTTTTTTTAGCGTTTTTTAAACGTTTTATTTTTTTTATTAACTTACGAAATTTCTCAGTTAGCTTATGAACGTTTTTAAAACGTTTTTTTAACGTCATAAAAAAACGTTTTTTAAACGTACGTTTTTTAAACGGTTATGCAATATCTAAAAGAGTATGTTTACGCAAATAATGGCGTGACCTTCGATCAGGCGAATTGATTTATTTAAGTAAAAATTATATAAGTTAGTATATATTTAAATCAACCAAGTGTATTGTTTGTATTCTTTTCTTGTAGAATTAAATTTGAAAATATATTGAAGTATTTTTAGTTTAAAGTTGTATGCCTTCGTTGAAACTATGTGTTTGTATTTCTACTTGAATCAAGTAGATAAGATTAATAAAGTTTTTATGGTGTGGTTAACTAAATTTTTTTTTTCTCTATTAAGTAACTTAATTGTTGAGTAAACTTGATTGCTTATAAAAACTAGGTTAAGTTTTTAATTCTACTTAATTATCAACTGCTTTTAATGCTAAAAAATTTATTTGGATTTGAGAAAAAGGAACAACATTCTCAGAGTTTTTCTTCTTTAACTCTAAAAATTAAAAATAATAATATCAGTGGCTTTTATAAAGGAAATACTGTAGTTAAAATGGCTGAAAGGAAAAAATATGATTATTTGTTTCAAGAAAGGGAGTGACTTACTTCAAAATGTCATTTTAAATTTTTATTCTTTAATGATATTCTGGTGTTATTACCAAATATTTAGCAGTATGAAACCTATAATATTATATACCATACTGTATACCCTATTTTACTTATAAAGTTATTAATCTGTAAAGTAATTTGTAAAAAATTTTCAATTGTAAAATTGCTACATGAGAAGACAAGTTGTTAGATGAAATTCAAATATTCTCTATGTTTGTGTTGTGTAGGTCAAAAAATAATAGATGAAGATGATATTGATTGTGATGACTAAGACTTCATTTTAAGACACATCAATCTTTATCATTTTTAAATAAAAAGGATAAACATTATGGATTTCCATTATCTCAAGCAAGTAAGTCTTTAGTTAAAAATAATATTGTAATGTTTGTTGTAAAATGTTAACATGGTTGTCAATATTAAAAAATATCATTCAAATGATGAGGTTCCAATTTTAACTTTAAATAATCACCTTCATGAAATCCATTATTTCAATATTATCAAAACTATAAATCTATGCAACAATCTTTCTTGTCTAACCCGAAATCTGAGAAAAACGCTAATATATATAATATAGCATTGCCACTATTAGGTATTTTACTGTCTATTAGTTTTTCTCTGATTTAGGGTTAGACCAGTAAAGTTGTTAAATTGTTAAATTTATGTATTTTAAATTTATTTACTTAGTTTAGTTAAGACTATGTAAAATTTAATTATTGTAAATTTGTTAAGACTTTCAATATTGTGTGTTGCTTCTCTTAAATGAGATAAAAACCCAAGGATGCAAAAAACTTAATATAAAATAGTGTGAAGAAGAAGTAGTAACTGAAATGAACAGTATAATAGAATTTGATAAGTTTGACTCAGCACTTGACAATATTTCGTCTAGTAACTCTGTAGTATCTCTGCAGTTGTAAATTGCTAAATACTGATTTGACAGATTTTTTCTTTTTTTTTTAATTTTCTTTACAATATATAATTTTTACTACTTAATTAGGAATTGTCAGATTTCCATTATTTCTTTCTATTAGAAACAAAGAGTTCAAAATATTGGTGGTAAGAACTGTCAAAAACTTGTGATAGCTATGATGAAGAGGTTAGTAAATTAAAAGTGCATTCCTATAAATACTCTGTTTAATTTTATAATGATATTACTCCCATCTTACAATCCATAATAAAAATCCTATGCATGGCTCTACATTGGCCGTTTTACCATAATGGGATGACTGAATAACTGTGAATTTCATACGCGCAAACTAGCACATGTGCGAAGCAGTTACAAAAACTGGCACAATGCCAAATGGCATAAGTGCAAATGGGCATAACTGCACAAAAAGAATTCCAAACATTGGCATAAGTGCAAACTACTATAAGTGCAAACTGGCATATGTGTAAATTGGCATAAGTGCGCTAAATAGATTTACAAACATTCCCATAAGTGTGAATTGCCATAAGTGGGAACTAGTATAAGTGTGAAGCAGTTGCAAAAACTCGCAAAAGTGCAAACAACATAAATGCGAACTGGCATAAGTGTGCCAAATAAATTTGCAAAATTTAGCATAATTCCAAACTGGCATAACTGCAAACTAGTATAAGGGCGATATGCCAATTAGCACTTAGGCCAATAGGCAAATTTATTACACGCATTTATGTCAGTTCGCACTTCTGCCAGTTTTTGTAACTGTTTCTTACTTAATCAAATTTTGCACTTATGCCTATTCGTAATGTTTGCTAACCTGTTTGGCGCACTAATGCCAATTTACACTTTTTCCAGTTTGCAAGCTTAAAGCTATAGGTTATCCTATAGCTTTAAACTTTAGTCCAGATAATTCTTTTAACCCAGATAATATTCATATATATGACTACACTAATGGTTAGTGTACACTTATGATCTGGACTACATTAATGGTTAATGTGCTATTTTTTAATCAATAGATGAGATTTAATTAATAGATAAACTGTATCGTTAAATTAAAATCTAAATGTTTAACTACATTTAGATTTTATGAATGAAAAAAAAAAAAAATTTTAATACAGTAGTTAATTATAATTTCATAAATTATAAGATATAATATTATTGAAATATATTATTTTTAGTTTTATGACAAATTCACTCATGGCCAAATCTAATATGGCAGCTGGAAAAAGCAAAGGATCTTTTTAGTCTAACCAAGCTATACAACTTAATAAAAGGTACGTTTATATATATATATATATATATATATATATATATATATATATATATATATATATATATATATATATATATATATATATATGTATATATATATATATATATATATATATATATATATATATAACTTTTATATATAGCTCTATATATAACAATTATTAGGCGGGATTGTATTTCTAATTTACCAAAAACCTGTTTTCTTTTATTCTCTTCTTCAAGCACTGTATATATATATATATATATATATATATATATATATATATATATATATATATATATATATATATATATATATATATATATATATATATATATATATATATATATATATATATATATATATATATATATATATATATATATTATATATATATATATATATATATATATATATATATACATATATATATATATATGTCTATATATATATATATATGTATATATATATATATATGTATATATATATATATATATATATATATATATATATATATATATATATATAATATATATATATATATATATATATATATATATATAAATCTATATACAACAATTATAAGGCAGGATTGTACTTCTAATTTACCAAATACTAACCTGTTTCCTCTTTTTCTCCTCTTCAAGCACTGTATATATATATATCTATATATATATATATATATATATATATCTATATATATATATATATATATATATATATATATATATATATATATATATACATATATATATATATATATATATATATATATATATATATATATATATATATATATATATATATATATATATATATATATATATATATATTTATTTATTTGTTTATTGAGATAATGAGTCAATAAGTTTTTGTGTAATAGTTGAAATTATAAATCTTAATAACACTTTAATAATTGGTTTATTAAATGAGTGTGGTATATCAAATGATAGAAAATTTAGAATACTAAATAGTGGTGTAAATAACTCCATACTGCCAAAAATGGACTTAGTGCATTTCCCTTGTATTCCCATCTCGTAAAACTACCGCAAAGCAGGATCGGCTTTAGGTTCGGGCGAGTTAGTCCAATCGTTTCGCCACAGCTTGAGATCCTACATGGGGAAAAAGTTCATCTGACAGCAAGCACAGTTAGAAAACGCCTGCAGCAAGCTGATTTGAATGGGAGAATTGCTGCAAAGAAGCCTTTATTGCGACCTTATAACATCGCAAAAAAAAGAGTATTGCCAAGTTGCACAAAACCTTGACTGTTGTACAATGAAATAAAATGCTATGGAGTGATGAAAGTACCTTTACTGTTATCTGTAGAGCTAAAAGAGCTTATTTGAGGAGAAGAGTTGGTGAATGATTTAGTCTTTTGTGTGTTGGTGAATGATTTAGTCCTCATACAGTAAAGCATAAAGGAGACTCTCTTATGGTATGGGGTTGCATGTCAGGATCAGGTGTAGGTCATTTATTTTGTTGTACGGGCACGCTAAACCAGGATAAATATTTGGAAATATAACTATTTGGTAAAAACAAACCATTTTTCTTTCAACAGGACAATGCTCCTTGCCACAAAGCTACAAAAGTAATGGAATATCTCAAACATGCTCGTACCAATGCTATTGAATGGCTTCCACAAAGTCCTGACCTGAACCCCATTGAAAATTTGTAGGAGTAGCTCTTCAGAAAAGTACAGAAAACCAAACCCAGCAATCTGGATGATTTGTGGCAACATTTGCAAGCTGCATGGCTAGCAATCCCTGTTAAAACCATCCAATAGCTGGTACAGTCTATGCCAAGACTTGTATAGGCCGTGCTTGATGCGCATGGAGGGCATACAAAATACTAGTCTTTTAGTCAGAATTTCTTATGTTTTATTAGTGGCGCTTATTACTGACAATGCAGAGTCGTTTTTATTTCAATGTGATGCTGATTTATTTATATTGTGCCAAAAATGAATAAACTTCTCTTGTTTTTCAACTGTGGTCATGACTTTATGCCTCTACTGTATATAGGTGTGTATATATGTATATATATATATATATATATATATATATATATATATATATATATATATATATATATATATATACATATATATATATATATATATATATATATATATATATATATATATATTATATATATATATATATATACATATATATATATATATATATATACATACATATATATATATATATATATATATATATATATATATATATATATATATATATATAATAATAATAATAATAATAATAATAATAATAATAATAATAATAATAGAAATAAGTTTTTAAATTACAAATATATGTTTTAAAAATATATATATAACTTCACATTGCATATATATATATATATATATATATATATATATATATATATATATATAATATATAATAATAATAATAATAATAGAAATAAGTTTTTAAATTACAAATATATTTTTAAAAATATATATATAACTTCACATTGCATATACATATATATATATATATATATATATATATATATATATATATATATATATATATATATATATATATATATATATATATATATATATATATATATATATATATATATATATATATATATATGTATATATATATATATATATAAATTTGAGGTTTAAATATTTTTGTATTTTGTATCACATTGCATATATATATATATATATATATATATATATATATATATATGCATATATATATGTATATATATATATATATATATATATATATATATATATATATATATATATATATATATATATATATATATATATATATATATTATTATTATACTATAATACTATTATTACTGTTCAGATGGTCTGTTTTAAATATATAGTTTTTTTTTTGTTTTAAATATATAGTTTTTTCTTTAGTTTGTGCATCGACTTCTCACGAATCATACACAGAGTCGATTGTCGATGCAATAATTACTGTTTCGTGAAAGCGGGCAACTTTTGCTTGTCTTAAAGTGCCTTAAATCCAACAGATATCATCGTTATAATATTACTTTGTTTGTAAATTGTTTTAAAAAATAAATTTAAAAATAACTTTAAAATAAATTTTTTATTTTTCTTGTTTTTTGAACCAACAGGCTCTTTTAAAAACAATATAATAATAGTACCTATGGATTTGAGAATATTTTCTAAGAAATAACGTCTTTTAAAGGTTTAAAAGACGTTTTTTTATGGTTTAATTTAGGTTATTTAAGAACGTTTTTTAAACGTTTTTTTTAGAACGTTTTTTAAACAACTTTTTTAGAACGTTTTTTAAACGCTTTTTTAAAAACGTTTTTTAGGTATTGCCATTCAGAACGTTTAAAAAACGTTTTTTTTCTTAGTTAAAAAAACGTTCATGTGTTTACTGGGATATATACACTGTGTCAAAAAAGTTTTCATCCACTTATCTTGCACATTTTAAAAATGCAATAACTTTTTATTCAGCAAAGATGCAAGCATGATATAAACTAAATTATATCATTTAAACATTTAAGAAATATTGTACAAAAAAAGTTTTTTAAAGTAATGAGTTACAAATAAAATACAGCATTTTGGAATAAAAGACATCTTTGTCTCAAAAAAGTTTTCATCCACTTTACAAAAATCAAATAAAATTGTCATACGAACTCAATTTATTAGTGTTTTAATAACTTGTGTTTCCACCACGAGCTTTTATTATTTCGTGTAGTCTGTTTTTCATTGAACAAACTAATTTTTTAGTAATTTCTGGAGTGATTAAGCCCCACTCTTTCATAATTACTAATTGGAGTTGTTGTTGATTCCTCACATCGTGGGTCCTAATTCTTCTACCCAATTCATCCCACAGATGTTCAATAGGATTTAAATCTGGAGATTGTGGGGGTGTATGAAGTTGCTTAGCTATTTTAAATATAAGCCATTCCTTGACACGTTTGGCAGTATGTTTTGGATCGTTATCTTGCTTAAAAGTAAATGACCTAGTAAGTCCCAAGTTGTGGGCACTTTCTTCAAGATTATTTTTTAGAATGTTTAAATACACATTTTGATCCATATTTCCATCAATGAAAACCAAGTTTCCTACACCTGAAGCACTCATACACCCCCACTCTAAAACACTTCCTCCGCCATGCTTCACCGTTGGACACAAGTTTTGTTTTTTAAATGCTTCATTTGGTTTTCTCCAAACTTTAACTCTTCCATCTGATGAAAACACATTAAATTTTGATTCATCGCTGAAAAGGACCGATTCCCAGAATGTTTGTGGTTCATTGATATAAAGTTTTGCAAAGTGTAGTCGTTTGGCTTTGTTGACTTTGCTGATATAGGGCTTTTTCAATGGTACTCTACCATTGTATCCAGCTCTTCTTAAGGTTATTCTAACAGTTTCAGGGTCCACTTTTAAATTGTAATCATTTTGCAGCATTCCAGCGAGTTTTGGAGCACTTATTTTAGGATTCTGGATGACTGTTCTTAATATAGCTCGTCGATGCAATACTTGAATTTTATTTGGACGCCCTTTTCGTGGCTTATCAGCAATTTTTTGGTGGTTTGGTATTTCTTAATAATAGACTGCACAGTTGCACGTGATTTCTTTACTATTTTTCCTATATTTCGCTGTGATTTTCCCTCTTTCCATAGTCTAACAATAAGCAATCTAATTTCCTCTGCAACTCTCATTTTTATTAATAATCTAACAAAAATAAAAAATATAAAAAACTCATATAAAAAAAAAAAAAATACAAAAATCTTACTAAATCTAATTTATATTTTAAAAATGATACTTTAATACTGATTTAATAACAAATTGAGGTTGGAGTGCAGGGTGGATGAAAACTTTTTTGGCGCAAAAACAGGTATTGTTTATGTTTAAATGTTGTATTTTAATTTCTATTCATTATTTTGTAAAATCTTTTTATACAATACTTCTTGAATAATTAACTGATATAATTAAGTTGAAATTATGCTTATATCTTTGCTGAATGTAAAGTTATCACGTCTGAAAGATGTACAGGATAGGTGGATGAAAACTTTTTTGACACAGTGTATATATATATATATATATATATATATATATATATATATATATATATATATATATATATATATATATACACACATATATGTATCTACTATGCACACACACATACATTTATACATACACACACACACATATATATATATATATTTATATAAATATATATCACACACACATACATTTATAAGTATATACATACACACACGCACACACCACACACACACACACACACACACACACACACACACACACACACACACACACACACACACACACACACACACACACACACACACACACACACATATATATATATATATATATATATATATATATATATATATATATATATATATATATATATGTATGTATACATTGTGTTTCATCAATAAGACTCATCAGAAATTTTTAATGATTCTTTATTAATGTTAAATTAAAATTTTTGTTAAGTGATTTTCTACTAATTTATATACATATATAATCATATTGTTAACATACTTAGATATTGCACGCAGCGGCGTCGCTAGGGTTTCAGGCGCCCAGAGCAATACTGAAAATTGGTGCCCCCATGAAATAGACATAAAAAAAACACTTAATGTTTGCAAGTTTATGTCAATTTTATTTAAAAAAGAATGCAAATGCTAATCATAATGCAAACTCAATTAACTCATGCTTCCAATTACGTATCCATTATTGTTCATGTGAATTAGTCACTGAAAGTGACAGATGGTCAATCAGTTCCAATAATCAATAAATATTTATAAATTATAATTTGATCTTTCTAGCTTTAAATGCAGCAAATTTATCTATTATGTCGTCAAAGTCTGTTGATTCTAGAGTTTATCTTTGGACACTAAGAATAGCCAAATCAACAAGACGTTGTTGCCCCATTGAAGTTCGTAAGTATGAAAGAATAAGCTTCAACTTGCTGAAGGAACGTTTGCAACTGGCTATTGACACTGCAATTGTGAGCAAGATTTGTAATGCAATTCGTATGTTTGGAAAAACGTCATCTCCGTATGACGAAATAAATGAAAGTAAATCCAGCGGAGTTGATGATATATTTTAATATACTGAGATGTTTTCCTTCTTATAATTTTTATTTTATTATCAATAAATTTTTGAATCCCAATAATAATTTTATTTCAGATTTAGATATTTTGAAAGTTTTTTAAATTTAATTTTGAAAGTTTTTTAATTTTATTAAGCGAGACAGAAAATTTTAACATAATTTGTTTAACGGAAACGTAGTGTTCTAAAGAATTTTTTGATTCTAATCTCCATCTCCTAGGGTTTAATTCGGTTTTTTTTAGAAAGTTAAGTTTAATAAGCGAGGAGGAGGAGTACTTTTTTACATAAAAGAAAATATTCTTTATAACGTTAGACGCGATATAAGTGTTTCTGATGAAGATCAAGAGACTATAACAATTAAAATTATAAACAAAAAATCTAAAAACGTTCTACTAAGCTGTTGTTATCGGCCTCCTACTAGAAGAACTGAACTCTTAAGCAATTTTTTTAAAACACGATTTGATAGAAAAAATAAATCAAGAAAGAAAAAAATATTACATAATAGGGGACTTAAATTTGGACTGTTTTGAATATAATAAAAACCAAAACATAAAAAAATTTTACAACGACTTATTTGAAACTGGAACAATACCTATAATAAATAAACCTAGAAGAATAACAAATCATTCATCTTCCTTAATAGATAACATTATAGCTAATGATTTTTTAAACACGCTGCTTAAAAAAGGTATTCTTAAAACTGATGTCTCTGATCACTTTCCTATTTTTTTTTTTTTATTTTTTTTTTGTATAAATGCAAACTATAAGTTAAATCCCTGAGTAAAACAACTATAAAAAAGCGTGTATACAGTAACAATAATTTAAAATCTTTTAAGGAACAAATTTTGAATCAAAACTGGAGCAATATTAACTTCAATGATGATATAAACCTGATTTATGGTTTGTTTTTTTTAAATATTTAAATTCATTTATGACGCAAACTTTCCTATTCGTGAAATAATCCTTAACGCCAAGGACGTATCTTGTCCTTGGATAACTAAAGGACTTAAAAAATCATCGAAAGGGAAACAAAAACTGTATGTTAAGTATCTAAAATATAAATCAGTCAATCATAAAAATAACTACTTAATTTATAAAAATAATTTCGAAAAACTCCGCAAAAATGCAAAAAGGAATTACTACTCCGACTTGTTTGCAAAAGCATAAACATAATTCAAAGCGTATTTGGCAACTAATGAAAGAGATCACGGGAAAAAATAAAAAAAGTACAATAATACCTAATGCAATAAAAATTAAAAACAAATTATTTAATGACCCTAATAAAATAGCTTTTGAATTTAATAAAATTTTTTTCTTCAATCGGAACAAGCTTATCAAATAAAATTCCTTATCTTAATGACAAATCAATTAATGAGTTTATAACATCACCTAATTTAACTTTAAATTTTTCAAACGCAACATACAACGAATTTGAAGCAGCGTTTAAATCATTAAAATGGAATAGGGCAATCGAGGCTGATTGCATCAATGGAAATAATAGTTTTGAAAGATATATTCTTTAGAATTTGTAAAGCTTCCATTGCTCAAGGATCCTTTCCAGACTCACTAAAAGTAGCTAAAATTACTCCTATTTATAAATCAGGTGACCATTGTCATACTACAAATTATCGTCCTATTTCAGTTCTTCCGGTTTTCTCTATAAAACTAGAAATAATAATGTATAACAGAGTCTACAATTATTTTGTTGATACTAAACTTTTATATAATAATCAACTCGGCTTCCAGAGAAACTATTCTACTGAGCACGCCATACTTCAACTAACACGCAGCATTTCTTATTCTTTAAAAAATTCTTATTATACCCTAGGAGTATTCATCGATTTATCTAAAGCTTTTGATACTGTCGATCACAACATTCTATTAAAAAAATTAGAACTCTGTGAAATTAAAGATAAATCCCTAAGCTGGTTCAAAAGCTATCTTAGTAATTGTAAACAGTTTGTTAATATCCAA